TACTCTATGAGCCGATAAAATATAGAAAGAAAAGCCAAAGAAGAAATATAAAACCGTTAAAATATCGCCATCAATACACTCTTTAAATAGTCTCACTTCTTAATAAATTTTCTTATGCATTCAACGATAACGGTCACCTTTACGTTGCATGCCTAATCAAGATCGATCTTAACTTCATTTTACACTTTACGCAAATAATCTGAACGCTCACATCGCTTTAGTATTTTGCCAGAAACAGAAAAAAATACGAGATAAAAAAGTTCGATTATTTTCGAATTCGAATAATCGAAGGTTCGATTATTCGAATTTTAATCGAAATCGATGCATGCCTATTTGGATGCCATTTGTTTATTCTTGATAGAATCACTGACAGAAAAATCATTGATATTCTGTGTTTTGTCGACACACGTAGTATATCATCAACATAACCATAGCAAATTTTAGCTTTGTTCGCAGAGAAACAATCTAAATGTTCTAATTTTGAAATAAAAATATCAGCAAGAATAGGTGCGACGGGTGAGCCCATCGCAACACCATGGTGTTGTACATAGTTTTCATTGAAAGATCGATATGGTACGTTGATAGATGACAATTCTAATGGTTATTTAGATTGAGTTCTATTAAGTGGACAATCTTTCGGTTGTTTGTTACGTTTATATAATAGACCAAGTGCTGTTTAAATTGCTTCGTTTGTTGGTATGTTTGTATAAAGTGATTCAATGTCGAGGCCGACTAAAGTATCATTCTTATTTGCTTTAATTTTAGTAATTTTCTTCATTAATTCGAAACTACCTTTGATAAATGAACGAGGTTTCTCTCTTTCATTTGTTAAGATCGTAGTTAAATATTTTGACAATTGATAATTATATATGTCAGTTGTTGAGATAATAGGACGAATTTTATTACTTTTATGAATTTTAACTTGTCCATAAAATGCCGACAGCGATGAGCATGTTGAGTGTGGATGAAAGAATAGTCTTTCTTCAATAACTTTCTGATTATAGAGAGGATGTAGATATTTATTCATTTCTTTTTCTTGAACTAAATTCTTCTTCGTTGATTTAAATTGTCTACTATTCAAAACGGTTTTACATTTTGAATATAATCACTTTTATCCAAGACAACAATGGAATTGCCTTTACCTGCTTTGCAAATTACAATGTTTTTGTTTTGTTTCGATGTTTTCGAAGCATGAAATTCTTCATGACTGATATTATTGACTAATTTCTTTTTATTATTCTTGATCAATTGTTTAGGGAAATCGTAGGCGGCGTGACACAATGTTTTAGAAATTGATGAATGACATAGTTGTTCTACTTTACGTAGAATAAATTCAACGTCAATTTGAAAGTCTATGAAATTGTTTAATCTGTGTTCAATACAGAACTCATACCACTATCTACATAATAGTCTTTCTTCTGTTTCATTTAGCTGATAACTTGAAAGATTATGTAGAACCTTATTCTTCATGTTGGTATAATCTTGACCAAGTTGTCCGTTGTTTAATTGTTTTAATTTCTTCTCATGAATTGTCGTTATACGTTCATTTCCATGTCTGGCTTCTTCACAGATGGATTGTTCTAAATTGTTGTAATCAGTTGATGATAGTTTCTTTTTCAATTCAGTCATAATACAATTAATATTATTCTTTAATTTCAATGAATCTCGATGTCTATTTTTATATTCATTTTAAATGCATTGATGTTGAAATTGTTGATATTTTGGTTGAGATTTCATTTGGTTCTTCCATAGTTTAAATCTAACAAATTCTGGATTCAAATTATATATTAAACACATTCGTAAATATTCTAAATCACATTTACATTTTTGATGTTTCACAAACAGTTTTTCTAAATGTGGTTCAGAGGATGTTTGAAGAGATGCTAGGGGGGTTTGGAAATCTGTCAGTACTGTAATTAGTACTCTTAACAAAGCATATTAACTGAATTTTAAACATTTATTCAGCTTTGTCTTGTGCTAATCATATATGAGCCAAAAAGATTGAAAGTCGTCTGCTAAGAAAAACTTGCATGGAAAAGAGTAAGTTGAAAAATTTCGCTCAAGAAAAAAACTTCCTTTATTGTTGTTCGCTACTCTTCTACTACAAATTATCCTCGTTCTCTTAACATAATTTCTGACAATGATTCTGGTTCAAGCCTGACTTTATTATCGAATAAGATTTCAATTGCGTGTACATTTTCATAATCACTACCGATCCAGAATTATTGGCAACAGAAATTAATGGTCGTTTTATTTCGAAAAAAAAATGAATTTGCACTACAAAAGCCTTTTCTCAACGTCACTTTACAATTCACTGCATATACAACTTCGGTGTTCGTTCTTCACCTGCATTCCTTAGTCTTTCTCGATTTTCTTCTGTTATTGGATTTCCCCAGAGATACAAATGTGTAAGTGAAAGATTTGTCTGAATCATTTCTTCGATTATTCCCACTTTTTTGCCCTTGATATGATTTCCTGTAAGATCAAGTGTTTCCAAACTCTTATTTCCACCTTCTCTGAGTGCTTCACATATTGCAAGGAAACCTTTATCCTGAATATAGTTGTGACTGAGCCAAAGTTGTTTCAGAGTTTTATTCACTTTTAACATTTCAGCTAACTCAGAAGCATCGGCCGGATATAAATTACATCGTTGTAAATCAAGTCGTTCACACTTCTGATCTGTTTTTAATTCATCTGCAATCAGTTTCAGGTCAGCATCTGACAGCTGCTGATCGTTAAATAGCCAGTTCACTGCTCCTTTCGACTTGTCGAGGATCTCTTGAACTTTTTCACTCACTCCTTTTTCTTCGTCGTCTTCGTCAGTAGAAGTGGTTTGTTGTTGCAAATCTTTGGAGGCTGCCATATCGTGTCTAAAAAAAATGTCGTTTGTAAAACGACTACGGTTCTTCTTGCCTTTTTGTACGTTAGTTCGACAAAAAGAGTGAAACGAAGAACGACATGAAAATGTTATCATTCTCATCACTCATCTGTATGTTATTGTATTTTGAGTTGAGTAAATATTTGAGAGAGGAAAACAGCCAAAAAAAGTAAAATTCTTTGCTTTCTGTTTCGCTACTGCCACACACTGCACGTATAGGTAACTTAATTCTATCGTCGATATTGTGATAGCAGTAATTGCACAAGCAAGAATGTGTGATGGTGAAAAATGTGTTAATCAGTCGGAAAAGTAGAAACTATTCTCTGCCTAAACAGATTCTGAAGGAGTCTCTGATCATCACTAGTTTTTGAAAAACAGTTTTTACCAGTTACTTTCGACACCTAATCATAGCGAACTAACAAAAACTCATTTTCGCCTTAGTAGACTAGGGCTCAGTTTTGGTAAACGTTTTTCTGTTCGGAAAATGTTTAAGAAACGCATCGGCGAACCACTTTCCGTTGTGAATTCCGATGATGATACTTCATTTTGTTTCAAACTTAGTTTTTTTCGACGACGAGTCTATGGAGATTTTGGCAGATATTCCGGCGACAAAACTTTGTGGATATGTCGGAATGGTCTCATTTTGTGCAGAATTTGATTCTCTATCGATCTGTACTATTTTCAAAAAAATGGATTTTCAATAGGTTTCTGGAGATCCGGTTTCCTAAAAAGTGCTTAGGTGAGTTTTAGGAAACCCGGAAAGCGATTCCATCGGGTTCCGTATCAAAATATGTGTATAAAATCAAAATTTCAGCAGTTTCAAACTTAAACGGTCGGATTTATTCGCGAATGAGCTGCCCCAATTTGGGGAAAAATAGCTACTTTTCAGTAAAAATTCATTTGCTCTAGAACAAAAAAGAATTTCGCAGGAAACGAAGCGTTCTTTTGTGGGTACTTGTCAAGGCGCATCGGATGGCATAAGACGCATCGCTCCATCAGTTAACACACCTAGATATGTTTGCAAGATGCGTGCTGAACACTTTGAGGAAGGGAGTCCCGTGCTGACGCCAAAGTTTCATTTTTTGACACGAAACGCTGAGAAACAGTTTTTATACTCAACTCTTAACGATGATTCCGAAAAAATTAGTTTTATGATCTCGAAATGTTTTGGAACAGAATTATTCGAGTTTTTCTAAGAATTTGCTGATTTTCGTGGCTTTGGCGAGTTTTAGTTTTTGAAATTTTTTTCCTTACCTACTTGCTGCCAATTCGGCCTTTCCTTTCGTGTCTTTTAGTGTGTGCGTGCGCTTCTGGAGCAGTATACGGATTAATAAATATTTTTGTTATTGAGAATATTGTCATATTCTTTAACATCCTGACCATTCGATATAGGATTTACCGTGAGTTATTAGTCGGAGATTAGATGAGATTTTATTTTCCTTCTTCTAGGTGTACTGCTTTTTACAACGTACCCATTCCTAGAATTATACGTCTTGTCGCCCTCCATCGGTTACTACCAGAGACCGAAACGGGTCGGGTCCGATTGTCTCGGGTCGGGTTCGGGTCAATGTAAAAAATATTGGTTCGGGTCGGGTCGGGTTCGGGTTAAAGTAAAAAATATTGATTCGGATCGGGTCAAAGGAAAAAAAATTTCGGGTTTTATTCGGGTCTTGCCACTAGAACACAAATCAGGAGAGTTTCGTCGGTTACAATTCACTCTTCTATTTTCAAACATATGTCTTTTTTATCAAAAAGGTTATGCAGGACTGTACGATACGGATATCGGTTTCTATTAGGAGCAAATGTCAAAACCGATATTCGTTTTGTAAGCTACGGATTTTTTTTAGAGAGTATATATATATATGATTAGTATTCAATGTTCATTATTGGTTATCTTCATTGATTTCCATTTTTGTTCATTACTAATTAATGTAGTTATGATTCCAAACATACCTGATGATGATCTCTAGCAAAGATCGAAACATGTCGTATGACTGCTTGAATCATTTCCTATGTAAACTCACCCTCACACAAACAGTATCCGGGTATATATATTTATATACCAAAAAAAAAACTGACTGCCAAAAAAATCTAGCTACAAAAATAAATCTAGCTACAAAAAAAAATGATGGGGGAGGTGAGATTGGGGTAATGTCTTGGAGAAGGATGGGACGTTGGGAAGCTAGAATATTGATTTTATTTGTGGCATTTGTGGTCACTGAAAGAAAAAAAGAGAAAGTTAACGAATGACTAATTCGATTCAAAACGAAACTACACTTACCCACGTTTATTTTCGATGTTTATTCATATTTTGTACAATCTATAAGTAAATAAAAGACTAATGCAAAGTAGAGAGCTACCTGAGAAGATCCTCATGAACAAAGATAAAGTTGTTGATAAAGTCATGATAATCTTTGAGCTTATCAACGATATATACATTATTCATGATTATTACAGATGTTTCGTGTTCTTCTGAAGAAGCCAACCGAGAAATATGTATTATTTCGACACTAATATTTTATTAAAATTGAGAAACTACAAAAAAGTTGAGAATATGAGAGAAAACTACTCGAGAATCTAAGAGGCAGATACTAAAAAATGATAATGTTCGATAAGAAAGTTCGATTTGCTCTATTGTTGCTTGTTTTTGCCATGTGTCCTGAAAAGACAAAAAATACTCCATCAGATACAATAGAAACAATCTATTCGAAAAAAACATACCAGGCTTAGAAATTATAACAAACACAACAAGGAGGAGGAAGACCAGCAAAACAAACATCAGAAGAAGCACATAAATGTGACTTCGTCTCATATCTTTTTTCCTTGACGTCACACATGAGTTAACTCTGCATATTAACAGTCTGTCGTCACTCTTTTGTTACCAAGGCTTGTTTTCTTGTTGACAATTGTAGGAGAACAGAACGAAAAGGAGAAAAAGATTGTCCGAATGCATCTCCAGTTCAAGGTTTCAGAAGTATGGTAACACATTATTATCGAAACATATAGGCCGTTGTTCACTACAACGGTGGCGATATGCACATCTGCCTACGAGAAAAAGGAATTACTCGTTCTACCTCTACGAGAAAAAAACCAATGTGTCTCTCTTCCTCTCTGCGCGAAAAAAAACCAATCCGTCTCTCTGTCTCTGTACGAAAAAAATTTTATATCTCTCCCTC